CATTCCAACTCCCCTCATCCCCATTCAGCAAGAAGCAGTCAGAACGAACCCAATGCCGCTTATTCCACAGAAACGGAATGAACACTGGGCGCTGGGGAGTTTGTAACAGCCTGAACAGAAGTGACTCCATTTTGTTAAGCCTTTGAATTATTATTTTTTTTTTTTCCTTTTTCTGTGTCAGGCAACGGATCGCAACCCTCAGTGTTGCCCCCGTACCGGACCGGGACCGGCAACGGGATCACAACCCTTGGTGTTGCCCCCGCACCTCGCTCAGCCAGTGAGCGGGAACCGGTCTGTATGTGGGATCCGACCCCTCGGCGGGAGCGCCGCCGCGCTTCCCAAGTGGCGCACTAGCACAGTGCGCCACCGGGCCGGCCCCTCAAAGAGTTTTAATGTTTGAAACACTTTATCCTCTGCTAGGTTTTTTTAGGCAGTGGAATGTGGATTTTGGGGCCACTTTCCCATTTCGTTTCAATCTGAGTGAATGCTTTAGGTCAGTTGTTAGCAAAATGGGGTCAAAACCATCATTTTATTCTGCAAGTTTTCTAATTCTCCCAGCGAGCTATCCAGCTACCCGCTTCTACATAAGGAAAAAGCGAGGCCCCGAAGTGATGTGGGCCGAATCCACACTAGAAAGATAATGGCAGTGTTTCTGTAAGTAGCTTAGAAGTGAATTCACCTCCACACACACGTGGATTGGTTCAGCAACCTTAGCTGTTATCTGGGCTTCATTCTCAAATGCTAATGAACAGCTCTTCCTGACACTGGAAATGCGCAAAAACTTTAGTTTTTCATTAAGTTGCCTCAAAAAAAAAAAAAAAAAAAGGAGGCCTTGAGATGTCTTGCTGGTTAGATGGTGACTTCCAGAAGGACTGGGCCGGGGATGGACTATGGTGTTATTACCCCCCGCTGGGGCCCAGGACTGGACCCAGCAATGGCTGCAGTCTTGCTAAATGACGTCCCTCATCAGGTGACTAAGACCTTAGCAGATTCAAATTAACTACTTAGCCCTGCCATCTCATCTTCCCCACTTGTGAAATGAGGGGCTGGTTAGGATGATCTCTGGAACCTTCTGACTCTGTGGCCCTCCCTGCCACCCCGTTTCTCCTTGGGGTGTGGTCGTCTGTGCTTTTATCTGTTAGCAGTGACTCCGGCTCTGAGGTGTCTTTGCTGTGTCTGCCTCATACAGCATCTTCTCTTCTGAGGGAAACTGTCCTTCTCCAGCTCCTGCCCATGGTGTGGCTGCCACAGACCCGTCTTCATAGCCACTCAACCCTGGTCATGGCTCATTGGACCAAGGGGGACCCGGCCCAATCTTGACCAAGCAGGCGCTAAGTCTCTGGGACAGGAATCGGATAACGAGCAGAGAACTGGTGCCTACAGCCACAGGATGCAGAGGAGGAGGCCACACTGGAAGGGAGGAGAGGTCAGGAGGAGTGGCAGAGGAGAGACCAGGGCAAGGACAGGCTGCAGGTGGGAGCAGGAGGAGCAGACGCAGAGAAGAGTCCGCAAGGGCAGTGGCAAAACTATCACCAGAGCGTCTCCAGTCCCTGAGGTTGGGCCTCATTAGAACGCCTGCCCCAGGGCTGCTGTGGGCTTTCATCTCCTGTCTGCCTGTGTGCATCTTTCCCTCCTTCCCCATAATATCACTGCAAGGTCCTGCTCTTGTTTGTTTCTTTTTTATTTTACTTAATGAACTCTTCCTTCCTTCCTTCCTTCCTTCCTTCCTTCCTTCCTTCCTTCCTTCCTTCCTTCCTTCCTTCCTTCCTTCCCTCCTTCCTTTTTTCTTTCCTTCCTTCCCCTTCACTTCCCACCTTCTTTCTTTCTTTCCACCCTTTTATCCCTGTTCTCTTTCCCCTCCACCCACAGATACCCATTTCTGGATGTTTATCGTGCACCTCTTTGACTGGATGTGTTTTTGTATAGGGCGCGCTGCAGCATACCTCGCTCTCATGTCCATAAACACCTGTGTGTTACTGCTCAGCATCTGCCTCTGAGGCCCATCCACGTCGCCATGTGCAGATGGATCTGTGGCTTCTGACTGCTGAGTGGTTCTGCACAGAGAGCACTCACCCCAGTGACGGGTACCCTACACCACCCCCACGGCACTGTCAGGAACATCCTCAGATGTGTCCCTTCGGGGACACTCTAGGAGTGTCCTTACTTGGTGTGAGATGTGTGTGTAACTAATCTCAGCATTGTCCAGGCACCCTTCACACTCCATCCAGTGCTGTTTGAAGACTCCTGGCTCCCTGCATCCTGGCAGACACTTGCCATCATCCAGCTTCCTAATTTTGCAGTCTGATAGGGGTAGAAGGATGTTTCATTGCTCTTTTTATTTGCATTTTTCTGATTATGGAAAGTTTGAGCATCTCTTTCTCACCCGTGTGAGAAACAGCATCCTCTTCCACACACACACATGTACACACACACAACAGCATCCACTTCCACACACACGTACACAAACACATGTACGCACATACGCACGTGTGCATGTTCTCTTGCACAGTCCACTTGAGCCAGTCTGAGAGTGTCTGTCCCAGTGCCAAGCACAGTGCCTGGCATATGGTTAAATGCCCAACAAACATCTGTTGAATAAAAGTAACCCCAAAAGTCTAAGTAAAACACATGAATCAGGGCATTTGTAAGTCCTCGAGCTTGTCAACACCAAAAGGTGGCCCCTGAATCATGGTGTCCTGACTACATGAGAATGAGCGTGTTCTGCCCTGCCCCACATAAGTGCCGTCTCACAGCATCCACATCCCTGCTGCACAGACCTCAGTTTGACCTGTCCTGCCCCAGTGCCTTTGCTTCCCATTGCTGGGGATGCCTCCTCCCCCTTCTCCTTTCTCCCTGCTGAAATTCCACCCATTCTTCAAGCCTCGATCCAATGCCACCTCCTCCATACAGCCTCGGCCTGACTCTCTGTGAGTCAGAAAGTCAGGATTGTTTACTCTCTCCTCAGCCCTCATCACACTGTGAACATATTATATTTCATTTGGACCTTTATCCAGCCTTGCAATAATATCAATGCACATGCACATCTCTGTCCCACCCCTGCTCTGCCCATCACTTGCTATGAGCCCCAACACTGACCCTTGCACACAGTATTTGTTTACGGAGGATGCCCAGCTAGGTGGCAAAGGTCGTGATGCTCCAGGGGGCATCGCTTGCATCCAAGACAGCTGCCAAGAGCTGCAAGGCTAGCTGGTGGGGAGCCATACTTACTTGGCGTAGGCTTTCTCCAGAAGGCATGGCCAGAACTCTTGGTTGCCTTTGCGAGGATGCACGAAGAGGAAGTCCTTGCCCACAACCGGCAGGCGGTCATCCACCACCACTTCCACCCACTGGCCACACTGCCAGAACTGGAAGAGAAACAAGCATATGCTTTAATAGAGCTGGGGCAGGAGGGGACTCCTGGACATCCCCCAACCTCAGCCAAAAGATAACCCCAGTTAAAGCATGGCCTTCTCAATGCAACCACAAACTCTATCCAGAGCAAAATCCCAGGCCAGGTTACTGAGTAGGAGATGGGCCTGTCATCTCCACTGGCAGGTAGAGAAAATGAGTCACAGACTAAGTTGGTTAAGGAAAATACAGGCAGGAGGAAGGAGACTTGGGTTCTAGTTTGACTTGGCTACTGACTGTGGGCTCACTTTGGCAAGTCCTTTGTGAGCATCAAGAACACACATGAGACTCTGCAGGTACTTCTTTTGCACAGAATGGCAGTAGGTGGAGCACTGGTGACTCACAAAGGAAGGTGGCAGATGCAGAGCTGTAAGGAGAGGTAAGGAGAGCCTACCAGGAGCTGAAGGCTTGAAGGAGGAGGCAGGACTTAAGCAGGTGGTGAGAAGATGGGGAAGGCATCCCAGACGGTGGGCACGGTGTGGGTAAAGGCCTGGAAGCAGAATGACATGATGGCTCGGGAGGACTGAGCATTCCAGGCTTCCCTCTTGTCAAGCTGGCCCTGCTGATAGAGCAGCAGAAATTAAACTGGCTGGCGCTGCTACTGCAAAGAGTGCAAATGAACCAGATGTTCCTCTCTGAAACAGACTGTTTTAATCTTTAGCATTCAACTCTAAATGGTTCACCTGGGGATGTCGCCAAATGAGGAAAACTCATAACAAAGCTGGCCTTTTGGAGTTTCTTTGCTGGCCTCCCCTGTGCTGGAGAAGCAGCAGAGCTTCCAGCATCAGGCCTGAGCCCAGAGGAAGAGAGTCTCTGCCAGGTGGGCTCTGAGTCAAGCTGGGTGGTTGTGCTTTCTCATCCACATGGCCTTTTCCACAGCTGGGTGTCCCAGATGTCAGGCTGTTCCATCCAGCTAAGGACGTGCTTTCAGAGCAGAAATGAAGAGTGAGACAGAGATTTCAGCAGAGACAAAGCAACAAAGATGTTTTCATAGTCATTAATGAGCTAGTGCACTGCATCAGGTTCCACACAGCTGTGGACTTGCGTTCCTATCGCAATGAGAAGTAAGACGTGTAGGCAGTGAGGGTGAGAGGCAATAGGGATGTTATCAGGAGGGAGATCATAAAACACATCTGAAGCACCACGGGAAAGCTAATGCCAGCTCCTAGAAGGGGGGTACTGGAAGGATGATCTGGATTTTGTGCTTACTTGGGTAGCAACGTGTCCAGTCTGTGGAACTGTGCTTGAATTCTGGTTTTGTCTCTTATTACCTGAGCAACAGATGGAGGGCTAGATACATAATTCTGTGACTCAGTTTCCTCATCTGTCAAATGGTGGTAAGACTGAGAACTGCCTCATAGGCTGCAATTGGGATCAGATGAGACTCTGAAAGTGAGATGGTAGGAACTGTTTTTTCATAGCTGTTTTGTTCAGCACCCAGGACAGCACCTGGTGTACAGCAGGCCATCGAAGGTGAGTCCTGGCTTGAATGAGCTCCTCTAGTTAGTTTCCTCTTAAAAGTCACCCTCACCCCTGCCCTCCCACACCAGAAATGCTGACCAAACTTGCTCTCCCTACACAAAGGGAAAATCAGATAAGGTTGCAGTTCCAGAGAGGCTGCAAATGGCTTGACTGGTGGTCAGAATGATGCCGCTGACCTGCGTTTACTGGTTCATGTCTCTGGATGAGGAGGGTTGGCATTTGGATAATGTCTGTAACCTTCCAAAATCAAGCTGGTGCCATTTTGCCAGCACCCAAGGGTCTGACAGGGAAATTGAAAGGGTTTGGAGCAAAGCATCAGAAGTGCCCAGGCATTGGGTGCCTTCCAGAGACCAGTGCCTGAGCTCCCAATGATAGGGAGAAATCTACAGAGGTGAGCACTGCAGGTGCTTCATGGGAAATGTGTGACTTTCTTCACCACCTGGAAGGGCAGAGTATATCCTGCCTGGGCCTTGGGTTATCTTAACCACCTAGGAAACTCCCACTGACACTGGCAGCTCTGGGGCAAGCCCAGACACAGCTCAATCCTGGGTCATCAGCTCGCTCCTTGGGCAGCCCTTGGACCAACAGCAGTAGCATCACCTGGATGCCTGTCAGAAGATGTAGTATGCAAATAGTTAGACATCAAGAGGTAAGAACAGGATAAAGAAGGAGCCCAGAAATAATGGAGGGAAACTTAGCTGAGCAGAAGGATGCAGGTCTTCAGATTGAAAAGGTTCACTGAATTCCAAGCAAGATTAATTTTTTAAAAAGCCCACATCTGGATATATTCTAGAGAAATTTCTGAACTATGAGGAGAGAGAATGCCTCTTACAAACTTGCAGTTCAAATGAGCAGGTTGCATACAAAGTCAGAAGAATAGATGAACACTGGATTTATTTCCTACAACACTGGAAGCTACAAGACAATGGGACAATGTTTCCAGGAAAAGAAATATGATCCAAGAATCCTAAATGTAACCAAAGTATCATTCTAAAGTGACAGCAAATGAAAAATTCTCATGTATTCTGAGGAAATTATTCAATGAACTACTTCTGTCTAATGAAGTTTAAACTAAAATGAAAATCTTAAGGAGAAATGAAGGGTGGAAGAAACAGCAGTAGGCAATGAGTTTTAAATGTGCTTTTTAGATGAAACATACTTACAATATAGTGAAACCAAAATTGGCAATAAAGGGGTAAACAAAGATATAACAGGAAAATGTAAATAACAGGAAGCTGGAGTGGGGAGGAGGAGCTCAAGGCCAGAAGCATTAAATACAACAAATAGGGATATTATGTAAGTTCTATTCCAACAAGAAGATAGCAAATAATAAACCTTTGGGCACCAAAAAATATGCGCAGGCAAAGAGTAAAGGCAGAACATAGGAGTATGGTAAGAACTGTCTCCAAACAATAACTATGGGGAAGAACTTCAATTTGCCTCTTGTAGAATTTGACAAATTGAGCAGACAAAAAATAAATTAAGATGAAAGAAATAATTGCAAATAATACGATCTGCAAATCAGGAAGCTTGATTCAATATGTAAAATTCATCGCCACTGGGTAATATACATTCTTATGTGTGCCCATGAACTATTTACAAAACCTGTCATGGGCTTGGCCATAAATAAAACTACCTCAATAATTTCCCCAAATGTGGGCATTTTATGAACTATATAACCTCTGACCATAATTTAATATAACTAAAACTCAGCAACAAAAAGTTAATCCCTGCAAAATTTAATCACTTGAAAATTAAGTAAACTTTAATGAAACAACCCTTATAGGAAAGAAATAAATCAAAACTAAAAATATATTATCTTAAAATTAAGGGCTGGCTGGTTGGTCAGTTGGTTAGAACAAGGTTAAGGGTTTGGGTTCCCATACTGGCCAGCTGCCAAAAAAAAAAAATTAATAAAAGTAAGATAATTTATATCAAAACCTAGAGATACAGATAAAATCTCAGAGGAAAATTTATAGTCTTAAAAGCTTTTATCATTAAAAAAGACTATAAATATTAAGTGTACATTTTTTTTTGCAATCATTATCTGTTTATTCAAAACCGGCTACAAACCAGTATATCCAAGGAAAAACTTTGAAGAGTAAGTATACAGTTTTGAAAATAAAAAAAGAACAATAAAATCAACCAAGATAAAGTAAAAGCGAATGAATAAAGATAAAATTTAAACCAATTACATTGAAAACACAAACCTCAAAAGAAAAAGAACAGAAAGAATAATGAAAATCAAAAGTTGATTTGTTAAAACACCAATACAATAGATTGGTTGGATTAAGAAAAGCTGAAATAAGAAAAAAATAAATAAATATATATTACTGGAATTGAGAAAGTAGATTTAGTCACATACTACAAGAGATTGAATGAATTATCAGAGAATCATATGAGCAACTCTATAGCAATACATTTGAAAATACAGAAGAAACAGTTGATTTTTCTTGTAAAGTATAAATTTTAGAACTCCATTAGAAATTAGAGACTCAAGCAGAGCAATGGCTATTGAATACATTGAAAGAGTTAAAGAAATCACACTTAAAAGCAGGCAGATCCAGGTAACTTAACTGTTGTCTATTTTACTTTCAAAGAATACACCATCAATGATCAGCAACCATTATTCAAATTATTTCAAATCAAAGTATGTAAAGCTCAATCAGTTCATTTTAAAAAGTTAGCATAACTCAAACATGATAAAAATAACATAAACTAGAAACCAATTTTACACCCGATATAGGTACAAAAATTCCAATAAAACTTTTAGCAAATTGCATCTGACAGTGTATTAAAAGAGCAGCACATCAGAAGAGCACGTCACTGAAATCAAGAGAAGGCAGACTTTGCTCTTGTCGTTCGGGCAGAATTGTGAGGCTCTAACTAATGTGACAAGGCAAAAGAGCAAAACAAGTTCTATAAATTTTAAAAGGAGAGACAAAATTATTTTCATTTTCGGATAATATTATTATGTAACTAAAACAATCCAGATGCGACTAAAGAAAAAAATAATGAGAACTCATAAAATAATTTGCTACGGTGGCTAGATACAGTTGAAAATATAAGTAGTAGCTTTCCTCTTTTCTAATAACATCTAGTTAGAAATGAGAGAGGAAAAAAAAAAAAACCAAATCCATTCACATTAGCTACAAAGTTGTAAAATATTTGAGAACAAATTTACCAGGAAGGGTACAGCACTAATATGAAAACATAACTATAACATTTTATTGAAGGGCATAAAACTAGTTCTGAATAAATAGAAAGGTAGACCATGTTTCTGGAAAGGAATAATTAAACTCATAAAAATGTAATTTTTCCAAATTAATACATAAATTTAATGCTGCTCTGTTCCGCATCACAGTGGCTTTTCTTTTTAATTAGACAAAATGATTTTAAAATTCTCACAGAAGAATAAATGTGCAAGAGTTACCAAGCTATTTTGGAGAAAAGAATCCTGAATAATGAAGAAGTTACCCTGCCCCACGTTGCAGCTTCCTGCAAAGCTACTGTGATCACAATAACATGATAAAGCACAGGCACAGACAGAGAGACAAAAACTCAGTGACAGGTCCAGGTTCTTCCCCTGGTTGTTTCTGTCATTCTCTTCTTAGTTACATGAAAATATTTTAACTCTCATCTTTTCTATGTGTAGTCAGATCATAAGCTCGAATCCTCTTTTGAAGGGAAGTAGGGTACCTAACATGAGTGTCAACTTCTGCCTCAGGCTGCCTGGCCACCAGAACATTCTAGACTCTTGCTTCTTTTGTGCTCAAAGAGAACCCATCATATAAGGAACGACGCAGCGAGACACGTACCCGAAAATGGAAAATCCCCGCATACTGGTGTGCAAAGCTTTGGGCTATCAGGATCTTCTGCAGACATGGTGGGTTCTGCGTCAGGGAGCCCAGGGCTGCCAGGAACCAGCAGTCTCCTGTGAGGGGACATAGTAGCGTCTAGGGGCCAGAGGGACACACCGGGAAGCCCCACCTCTTGATTTCACAGGTCTTTGCCCCCAGAGTCCACACACCCTTTGGGGAATGATGCACTTTATTTCCTCTCAGAGGACAATTGGTGAAGGATTCACTGCAGCTAGTTCCCAGCAAGATAGAGGTGGTGCTGAGGGCGTGGTGACGGAGGACAGGGGAGCACCAGCCAGGCTTTACGGAGCTGGGGACCAACTTGCCCCTGATTCTCTTTTTGCCAGCAGTGCCAGAGTTCAAGTGACAGCCAATTTGGCTGCCAGTGTCAGCGGACATGGTGCTCGGTACAATTGCCAAAACAGATTTGTCTTTTCCTTTGCTAATATGTGCTCAGCCCCTACCCATGTCACAGCCCCTCTGGCACACAGGGGTTCTCTTCTCTTCCTTTTTGTGGGGTGCGTGGCCTCGAGTTCCTCCTCAGATGCCATGTGAGCCTTTGAGTGTGCTCATGCCCTCCCTTGCGTCCCTCTCCTTCACCTTCATCAAGATCAATTCTTCCAATGCCATTTCATGCCAGGCATTGTGCTGGGTGCAGAAGCCACCAAGACGCCCTCAGAGAAGTTCTTTCTCCAGTTAGGTGAAACCCTAATAGGGGGATTATTGACTGGTGGCCAGGTAGGCTTCTATCAGCTTGGTCCAAGATGCAGGGATTCCACCAGGTGAGGGGCAAGTACAGGTATGACTTGTAAGCTGACATTTTGAAGGTTTGGAGTCATTCTCAGAAGAGTCACTGTCTTTGCTGCATCTCCCAGCTCCTGTCCACCTTCCCCTCCCCACCAGCCAGGCCCACTCTTTCATCCCTCAGGGGTTTCTCCCTCTCTTGGCCATAGCTGGGACCACCCAGGGGCCTCCCGTTAGGGCAGACCCTCCTGTTCCCGTCTACAACTTTCAGCTGTCAGCAGCTCATTTTCTCTGTGGCTGTCTGGAGGGGTGGGAGGAAGTCAAACAGCCCTGGATTCTTAACTCTGTCACTTATGATTATGTGACATTCAATAAACTATCTTACCTCTTGGGTCCCCCTCCATTTCCATATATATAAAATGGGGATGTTACAAGGAGTAAATGAACCAGAGCATGCAAGGTGTCTAGGACAGCCATTGTGGAAACTCAATGAACAGTTCCTTCCCTTTTCCCATCTCCCTTTCCTTCCCCTCTCCCAGCAGCTGATGCTCGCCCCCACTCAGTGCTTACACGAACCACTGTGTTTGTTTTCTCCCTTCCTAGGATAATTCCTCACCCCGAATGGCCCTGCATACCCATTGCTGAGCAGGTGGGCATCTGGGCATGGGGACGTGGCTGCAGAACTGGACGCAAGCGGTTCATCTACAGCGGTACCCAGGGGACTGGCCTTGCCTCCCTCTTCCAACCTCCACTGCTCCCTATCCACAGGCATGGTTTGGGGTCTGCCCTGACCCAGGGCTGGGAGAAAAGGTGTGGAGTTCTTACCTGCTATTCCTTGTTGGATGTCAAACCTGCTTGCACTTTCCAGGATGAAGTGAGGGGGACCCTTTGATAAATCCTTAGGAAAGAGGGAGAAAAGCTATGAGCATCTTTCATTCCTTTATGTCCCAGTGTGGTACCCGAGACATTCACTTTGTCTTTGAAGGGTAGAGGTTAATTCTTAAGTAGATGCTTAAAATCTGTGTTAGGAAAGTTCCCCTCATTCTTCAGGTTTTATTGCTCTTGGGAAGGCAGGTGTCAAAGGGGTGTATATGTAACCAACAAGACGGGCAATAAATGCATAAGCAAACTGCATGAAGAAATGGCATAAATAAGGGCTCGGGATCCTTATAGCAAATAGTCAGCCATCCTGGTCCCAACAAGCCAGTGTTTAATTAAGAGGTTATAAACAGACAAAAATGCATAGGGTAAATTTATTAGAGTAGACTTTCTATAAACATGAAAAAGAACTATAGCTTTCCGTGATAAAGCTTTTCTTGTGAAATAGAGTTTCTCAGAAATCAGCATAAGCCTTCTGGACTCCAGGTTCAAGTGCAGCCATGTTTCGTACAGGATACAGGCTGTGCATGACAAAGATCTTTGCACACTCCCGGGCTAACTCACAGACTGAGTCTGGAAGGCCCCAAGCCCCTTGTCTCAGTGCTGTTACTCAGTGCCCACTGCTTCCCCAAACTCCAACACACAGAGCGCCAGCCAGCCACAGAAAAGCAGGTGCCAGAAGATTCCGCAGTGCTGCAAAATGTCTGCGGAGAATTTTTGGAACTCTCTGCAGACATGAGGATTGTGAGAGCTCCTGAGGGGGATCCCCAGGCACTTGGGGGACACTGGGCAGTGGTCTGACTCCTGCCCAGTGCTAGTCAGTCCTCTAGCTTTGCTTCCCACTAGGAACCCACAGGATTGTCCTCAGCATCTTCTCCGTGCGGCTCTTCCTGGACTTCCGTTGCATAAGTTTGCATAATTTGGTAATTGTTCCTGTATCATTTCTTTCCTCATTGACAAATGAGTCCCTGGAGATCAGCACTGCAAAGTGAAATGGATTCATTTGCTCCACAGCCATTAATGTAGAGTCATGTGCCTCGCAGGACCTGCCAAGCCCTTCAGAAACTGCCAGTTTCCTGGTGGAAATGCAGACTGGGGCCAACCGAGGTGCACCAGTCTGCAAACACAGGGGCCCAGTGAGGGCATCATCTCACCAACCTCCTTCCAGTGCTTTCTCAACAAACAACAGACCCCATCAGATGTCTGGAGGGGCTTGTGGGCCCAGGCCTTCCTGGGGTAGGGGGGCCCTGGGTGGCACCAAGCCTGACCCTCTGCAGAGCTGCGTCAGGGCAGCACTGTGAAGCTCCCCTAGCACAAGAGGGCAGGGGGCAGCCTGAGGGTCTTTGCTTTCTGTGCAGGGCCACGGAGCCAGTTTTAAAACAACTTGGGACATTTTGATATCCTTTCATTGCCCCTCTATTCTATTGGAAAAAGGAATTAAAGGTCTCAAAGGAGGCCTGCTGTTGTGAGTGGGGACTCTTAAGACCTCCCCCAGTCACAGGAATTTAAGAAGAGGATGGAAGCTATGGGGTTTCTGGACCAGGAACAAAGACAACTTTGCTCAGTTTTCCTGACCCGTAGCTGCATCTTTCTTCGCTCTTGTCCTGCTGGTTTCCTCCTGTGATCTGCAGAGGAGGAGTGGGTGTGCTTGGGGAGTCCATTCAGACAGACACAATATGGAATCCTGCCCCGACATTTCTCCCTGGCTGACCTTGAGACTTTGAGCACTTTCCTTTACATTGCTGAGCCTCAGTTTCCCCATGCGTAAAATGGGAACAGTAATACAAAATATAAGGACAGTTGGGAGAATCCAATGATAAAACAATCAAGGTGATGGCTGGCATCTATTGAACCCTTGCTGAGGGCCAGGTGCTCCATTCCTGGATTCTCTCCTGTGGGCTCCCCACAGTCTCGCAAAGCAGGATGAATCCTCTTATTTTACAGATGGGAAAGGATGCAAAATACCTAGTGCAGCATCTGACAGTGTGTGTTCAATAAATATTGATTCCCTTCTGTAATATTTGCAAAATTAAAAAGGCTATATTCATAGACAAACCCATAGCATCAAATGCATTCATTATTAAACAAGATAGAATAAAAACATGAATTAAGCAGTCAACTCATAGGTATTAGAATGGAAAAGACAAAAAGAGTCTCACAAAAATAGGAGGAAGGAAGTGATAAAGAGAACAATTAGTGAATTATAAAATTAACCAGAAGAACATCAAGATTAATAAGATAAATAAATCGTTCTATTTGGGGGAGGCGGTTTATGTAGACCCGATCTTTGGCAAATATGATAGAGAAACCCAAATAAAATTAGAAATAAAAATGGGGCTTTAGAAATATAAAAACATAATGTAAAATTCTATGCTAATTAAAAATACTGACCATCTGATGAAAATTAACATGGCTAAAAAATGACTTAAGTTAGGAAATAATCTGAAAAGACAAATAACCTTGGGATGGTATTTTAAAGTCATCAAAGAATATCTCCCTAATACCCCTGGTAAAGGCTGGCTACTAGGTATGTGCAATTTTCCTGCTGAGTTCTCTCAGACTTCCAGGGATAGACAATTCCTATGTCATTTACGGTTTAAGTGTTTAAAAAAATCTTACCACCATTTAAGAAGCCAGCATAGCCTTGATGCCCAACCTGAGAGAAGACACACACACACACACACACACACATACACACCACACTGATGTTGACAAATCTATTATTATCAAGTAGGAGCTGCCATAGAAATGCAGAATGCCAGATGATTTCATATCAGGACATCCAATAATATGAAATAGCACTTACATGAGCCAAAGGGGAAATTAAGTGTATGTCCTTTCAATAAATGCTATAAAGGAATTTGATGAACACACATGGATTTTTTTATGATTTTCCAAAATAACAAGTTAAAATTAAAAAACAAAATTTTAGTTAATTAGGAACAGAAAGATACTTTGATTTTATGAAAGTTAAATGGTGATTATTTCAAGCCTCAAATCAATAGTCAATATCAAGTTTATGGTGAAACACTGGAGTTGTTTGCATTAAAGGTATGCACAAAACCGGCACCGACATCTCCTGTCCTCTAAGCTGTCTGTTCCTCTCCAACCTGGGCTTTAGAGCAGTGATAGACAATCCAAAAAAAGGGAAAGTAGGAAGGAATGGAAGTCGTACCCGGAAGCATTTTAGTCTGCCAGGCTGACTTCCTGAGACAAGGCCCATAAAGGAAATAGGTAAAGATGGCTGAGAAGATGGAGATGCCCTGGCTCTGGACAGGTCACCTGTTACTAGGTGGGCCGGGCGCATCAGGGCAGTGGGGAAGTCAGTGTGATAAGATCATAGATCAGACTCAGGCTGAACGACCAGCAATGGGCAGGGTCCCCACCCCAGATGTGGCTCAGAATCACCCAGCAGCTTCACAGACGTGGTGACAGCTGTGCCAGCCTTCCACAGCTCTGACTCAGTAGGTCAGTCGGAGGCAGAGTTCGGGACTAACGCAGCCCCCGGGTAGCTCTGAGGCCAGCCGGGGTGAGGGAGCAGGTTCGGAGAAGTTGAGTGGCTTGCCACAGGTCACGCAGGAAGCGGGCTCTCTATGAAGTGATCTGCCTCCATGACACCTTGTTCTTCGTGCCTGACCAGCAGTCAGAGCCTTCTCAACTGTAACATTTTCTGCTTCTGTGAGATGGTCTGAGCCTTTGAGGGCTCTGAAGCATCCATTCATATAGAGGGAAACTGTGATGGTTAATTTTTTGTGTCAACCTAACTAATCACAGGCACCCAAATATCAGGCTAAACGTTATTTCTGAGTGTGTCCGTGAGGGTATTTCAGGACGAGATCAGCATTTGAACTGGCAGATCACCCTCCCCAATGTGGATAGGCATCTTCGCATCCATCGAGGGCCTGAATAGAGAGCAAAAACATGGAGGAGGGGAGAATTTGCCCCTTCTCTGCCTAACTGTTTACGCTGAGACATCGGTCTTTTCCTGCCCTCACTAGGAATTGTATATATCATACTAGGAATTGTATATATCATCGGCTCCCCTGGCTCTCAGGCCGCCAACTTGGACTTAAGTACACCACTGGCTTTCCTGGGTCTCCAGACTGCAGACAGCATATCATGGGACTTAGGCTTCATAAGTGCACAAAGCAATCCCTCATAATACAGTTGACCCTTGAACAACACAGGAGTTGGGGGCGCCAACCCCTGTGCAATCAAATATCCACGTATAGGTTTTGATTCCCCAAAGTGACCAGTTCCATGCTTTATACTTTAGGGGTCACTGATCAGGAGTTGCCAGTGATCAGACTGAAATTAAAACATACACATTCTTCTTGTTACACACATGTAGATGTGTATGCATGTGTGTTGGGGGAAAGTGAGGCTCAGGGGTGAGGAGGGGTGAGTCATAGCAGTGTGATCATGTGAAGGTTTTAGTTCTGGGAATGGGCCCACAGTTGAGCTAATTCTGTTTTGTACTGTTGAGAACATATACAGGAATAAACAAAGTATTTTTCCTATACTCTTTACTCAGCAACAATCAACACAGAAGACAGACTTCTGTGACCAAATGTGTGGGGATTTCTCCCCACCAGCAAGCAAGCAATCGATTCCGCAGTGGACCCAGCTGGGTGTCCTCTAACTTAAGTTAGTTCTGACACTATTCACCTGGAGACAGCGTCAGACCTCACAGGGTGAGGGCTCAGTCCCCAAGTCTGCCCCCTTCCACTTCAGATGCCAGTCACCAGTTCAGGCCCCTGGAACTTCTGACCAAACAGCTTTAAGTTGGGGTCTTCACAACTCCTTCCTCAGGTTCGATTGATTTGCTCAGTATCTCACAGAACTGAGGAAGCATGTTTATACACTTATTATAAAGGATATTACAAGGGTATAGATGAAGAGATACACAGGACAAGGTATGGGGGAAGAGGTATGGACCTTCCATGCCCTCCCTGGGCATGTCACCCTCCAGGAATCCTCATGTGTTCAGCTCTCCAGAAGCTTTTCGAACCCAGGCCT